AACGCGTGATTAGTCTGCCTCGCGTTCCCCGACACGTGAATAGACCGGGCAGATAACGCCCTCTTGGAATCGCGATCCGTGCTCTATCCCCTGCTGGATGAAGGCATCCCCACCAGCCCATCTCTCACCGTGCTGCGACATCGCGATCCATGCCCTGTAAACATGGCACGTTGGGCCAACGTTGGTCCAGCCACATGCCAACGTGATGATGGTGGGGGTGGTGATGATGATGATGGAGGTGATAACAGTGGTTATAATGGAGATGATGATCATGGTGATGATGGTGATGATGGTGATGATGGTGATAATGGTGATAATAATGACGGTGGTGGTGACGGTGATGATGGTGGTGATGATGATGGTGGAGGTGGTGGAGGCGATGATGGTGGAGGTGGTAGAGGCGATGATGGGAGTCACACGGGGACAGGTTCATCTGAGCGGCGACCTCCTCTCTGTTGGGGGTGCCTTGACCCCACGTGACCCCACTAAACACCTCCCCCCACCCCCGGCCCCCCAACCCCACCACAACCCCACACCCCCACAAACACCCCACACCGATGCAACACCCACCAACAAACATTCTCGTCTCACAGCCACAGCGATCAACACTCCTAACGCACTCACCCAACAAAGACAAAGATCCCCCATGTAGCCTGTAACAGATTTTCGGGGCAAGTCCTGTTAGCGAGCACCTTTCAAGGCCGGCACGGCACACGAGGGGTGGGTGGCCAACACCATGCCCGGCCGCCTTTGTCTCTCTAGTGGGGATGTTTACACACCGCACCAGGTACTCATTTGAGGCCGAGTCGATCTAGGGGAGCAGGCGCAGGACCGGCTCAGATAATCGTCACTGATATTGGCCGTGAGCGGGAATCAAACTCGGGTCGCCGGGTTCGTAGCGCAGCGTGATAACCACTACACTACCGCTCCCCACACCAGGCCAACACACACACTGGCCAACAATTAACTCTCACAATCAGCCAGAACACAACAGCAGTCACCCACAACGCAACACCGATTAGCACCGTTGGCTACGTACGGCGCAAAATAAGTTGAACACACATGCAACATTGAACACTCACAACCACACAAACAGCCAACAAAAGACAAAGATCGCCCGCTGTAGCCTTAACAGACTGTTGGGGCAAGTGCTGTTACCGATCAGCTATTATGTCCAACAAGCCACACGAATCGGTGGGTGGCCGCGACTACGCTCGACACCCTTTTTATATCCCAATTGGCGATGTTCACACATCGCACCAGGTACTAATTTGAGGCCGAGTCGACCTAGGGGAGCAGACCCAGGACCGGTTCAGATAATCGTCACTGGTGTTAGCCGTGAGCAGGATTCGAAGCACAGTGCGCTAACCACTGCGCCACCGCTCCCTACACACCCAGCCAAAACACACGCGCACCAACACCGAACGCTCACAATAACACACCGCTATGTGCCAAAGTCTTGTGTAACTCAAAACGATGTTTTTATTACTGCTGTTATACAAACTATAAAGAACGGATGCGGCCAGCGTTGGAATCCTGCTGCTGTGAAATCTGGGATGGAGCACCCAAGACGCGCCACGCGGCACCGCCTTGAAGTCGCTCCACTCACTCGCTCGCTCACCCACACAAAGATAAAGACAAAGATCCCCCGTATAGCCTTAACAGACTGTAGGGGCAAGTGCTGTTAGCGAGCACCTATGAAGGCCGGAACGGTACACGAGGGGGTGGGTGGCCAGCACCACGCCCGACCGCCTTTGTCTCCCCAGTGGAAATGTTTTTTTATCCACCCATTTGAGGCTGAGTCGACCTAGGGGAGGCCCAGGACCGGTTCAGATAATCGTCACTGGTGTTGGCCGTGAGCGGGAATCGAACCCGGGTCGCCAGGTTCATAGGGCAGCGCGCTAACCGCTACACTCCCGCTCCCCCACACACTCACTCACCCACACACTCACTCAACCAGTCTCTCGCTCACTCACCCACACACTCACTCGCTCACTCACCCACTCGCTCACCCACACACTCACTCAACCAGTCTCTCGCTCACTCACCCACACACTCACTCGCTCGCTCACCCACACACACTCACTCACTCGCTCACCCACACACTCAACCAGTCTCTCGCTCGCTCACTCACCCACACTCACTCACACAGTCTCTCGCTCACTCACCCACACTCACCTCACCCACACACTCACTCAGTAACTCCACTCACTCACCCAGTCTGTCGCTCACTCACCCACATACTCACTCAGTCGCTCCATTCGCTCACTCACCCAGACAGTCGCTCACACATCCATCCACTCACCCAGTCTTCTCGCTCACTCACCCAACCAACCTCTCACCCAGACACCCTCTCACTCACCGACCCACTCACGCAACCATTCACCCACACACTCGCTCATTAACCCACCCACACACTCACCCAGTCACTCACCCAGACATTCGCTCACTCACCGACCCACTCACTCACGCAACCACTTATCCAGACACTCTGTCATTAACCCACCCACTCATTCTCAGTCTCCCGTTCACTAACCCACCCACTCACCCAGTCACTCGCTCGCTCACTCACTCACCCATCCACCCACTCACCCAGACACTTGCTCACTTACTCACCCAGTCACTCACCCAGTCACTCACCCAGTCGCTCGCTCATCGACAGCCGGTCTCCTCCCTGTCACTCTTCTGTCGCTGCTACTACTATGATCGTCACCATGGTTGCTCTTCCCGTGAACTGAACTCACCGATTCCTCCACGCACGATTGAGGATTCTGCAAACCACTTGTGTAATGCTCATGTAGACACGCACACACACACACGTGTGCACGGTATATCATCAGCGACGTTGAAATCCATGTTACATTTTGCTCAATTAACCATCCACATCGCTAATCCTGCACCGCCCACCGATATCCCCCCCATCCCCCACTGAGCCCTTCCCGCCCCCCCCTTCCAGAGCGCCACATGGTTTACCCCCCCCCCCCCATCTTCGCCCCCTTCACCTCCGCCCCCTACTTGAGTCAATGCCAAAAACTAATTAACGAGACGCCCCCCCACGCAGACCTCCCCCCCCCCCCACGGACCCCCCCCCCCTCCCACGGAGCGCTAATGATGGAGGCGGAGCCACTCACCCGCGGCCCACGTGGAAGCAGAGGTCGCGATCCGTAATTGGCCAATTAGTTAATTGCTCTAACACGTGTCTAAGTAAGGGGGGGGGGCTCTCATTAAAGTCTCGCCGTGGCGGGGGGGGGGGGGCTAAAATCGCGTGGAGATGGCGAGGGTTGGTGGATCGCGTGGAGATGGCGAGGGTTGGTGGATCGCGTCGAGATGGCGAGGGTTGGTGGGTCGCGTGGAGATGGGGAGGGTTGGTGGATCGCGTGGAGATGGCGAGGTTTGGTGGGTCGCGTGGAGATGGCGAGAGTTGGTGGATCGCGTCGAGATGGCGAGGGTTGGTGGGTCGCGTGGAGATGGCGAGGGTTGGTGGGTCGCGTGGAGATGGCGAGGGTTGGTGGATCGCGCAGAGATTTGCGAAGCTCCCCAAAACGATGTTGATTGAGGCGGTGGGTTACAATCGAGTGGGGATTTCGCGTCCGTTCGCGAATTGAGGCTGCGCGGATCGGTGCGTGTCGTCGTCAGCCCTCTCGATGAATGCGTGGGTGAGGGGTGGCGGGTTGTGGGGGGAGTGTGGCAGGACCCTCCTGCAAAGTAGCCTTGAGACTCGGCGAAGGCGTTCCTGGGTACAATTAATACAGTCCAGTGATTATAATGATCAATCCAGTAATAATAAAGTACAGTAATAACAAGCGCTTCTCGTCAACAAAGATCCCCCGTGTAGCCTTAACTGACTGTTGGCGCAAGTGCTGTTAGCGAGCACCTATGAAGACCGGCACGGCACGCGAGGGGGTGGGTGGCCAGCACCACGCCCAGCCGCCTTTGTCTCCCCAGTGGCGATGTTTTTACACACCGCACCAGGTACTCATTCGAGGCCGAGTCGACCTAGGGGAGGCCCAGGACCGGTTCAGACAATCGTCACACTGGCGTTGGTTTGGCCGCGAGCGGCAATTGAACCCGGGTTCGCCGGGTTCGTAAGCGCAGCGCTAACCGCTGCACCACCGCTCCCCACACGACCGTGCCACCGCTGCCGAGAGAGAGGGGTCGAGGGTCGTCCCGAGCGGGTTGCTGCCCCGCGTGCTGTGTGGATGGTGAGCAGCACCCACCCCGAAGTCTCGGGCTATAGATCATCTCCCGGAGCGGCAGTTTACACTCCTAAGCAAGTTTCTTAAAACAAACCCCGCCCGGGCAGCTTTGTTCACTCAGAAGTAAAAAAAAGATTCCGAAAAATCGAGACGCCCAAAGTCGATCGCGCCCGGTGGGTAAAGTGTGGGTACCGTCACTTCTGGAGCGCCCTCTAATGGAGGCCTTTCTGCCAGCACGTGTGCCCGTGTCACCTCTTCGTAACAAAGTAAACATTCAGAACAAGTTGCCAATCCACTGCTGGATGAAGCCCCCCCTCCCCCCCGCCCGCTTCGATCGTGGAGGGCTGTTCAACCATACTTCACCGCGCTGGTCAGAGCCGATTGGTGAAGGGGAGGGTGGCGGGGGCAAGAGTGGTCCAGGCACTCGTTTAAGACCGAGTTCGACCTCGGGTGATCCCCAGAACCGGTTCAGGTGCGACTCGCCACTTATGCATTTCATAGCGGAGTGCGCCAACCACTGCGCCACCGCTCCATCCCAAAAAAATATATCTCGGTCAACCTCGCCTCGAGATTCGTCTCTCGTGGGTCGTCGTTTGGGATTCTGAATAATCGAGGGTGCGACAAGACGCAGTCGGGGTAAAGATCACTGTGAGTATACAGGGTCACTGTTGAAGAGTCAATATCGAGGTTGAGTTCAAGGTCGAGGTTAGTGTCAAGGTCAGGGTGAACGAAGTTACCGCTACACTCGCTCAACTTTGCGACACGCGCCGCGCTCAGATCCGATACCCGCGCTCACATCCTCACCTGTTCCACCACCCAAACCTCTTCCACCTCTTCCTTCTTCACCACTGCTTCGTGGGCCGCTGTCGGGGTCTGGCAGCGAAACCTCACGGGGCGAGAATTCCTCCTCGCGAGGAGCTCCTCCGCCCGCCGCTGCCCGGGCTGTTGTGATCGCACGCAAAACCCCTCTCACTCCTACCCCTCCTACAAATCCTCTTCCTCCTCCTCCCAGTGCGCAGCTCATTAAGCACGGCACCTGGAGATGAGCACCAATTAAGGCGAGTGAACAGCAGCCGATGCCGTTTTGAGAGTGAATGGGCGTGTGCAAACAAAGGTTCCCCGTATAGCCCGCACAGGCTGTTGGGGGAAAGTGCTGTTAGCGAGCGCGATGGGGTGGGGGTGGTGTGCCCGGGCCGCCTTTAACTCTCTCTCTCCAGTGCAGATCAGCACAGCAGCACGATGTTATTGCTCAATGAAGGCTGAGCCGACCTAGGGGAGGCCCAGGACCGGTTCAGATATCAAATAAATATTCATAGATTCTGATGTTGGCCGTGAGCGGGAATCGGACTTCTGGTCGCCTGCAGCGCAGTGATGGTGGTGACATCAGAGTACTTTTCGATTTAAAGCTTTCGTGACTGCAATGATTCATCTTCTTTGGTTCTTTCGGTAAAGTCACGTAGAATGATAATAAAATAATAAATTGATAAAATAACACAATATTCTCACGTTTCGGCCACAACACAAGCGGCCTTCACCAGACAGTCTCGCCCCCTTCACCTGATGAAGGCCGCTTGTGTTGTGGCCGAAACGTCGTGAGAATATTATTGTTATTTTATTTTATCAATTTATTATTTTATTATCATTCTACGTGACTTTACCGAAAGAACCAAAGAAGATCAGAGTACTTGTGCCAGGCTAGGTGCACTGTGAAGTCATCAAGTGAATTGCGGAAGGGTCACTAATGGAAGGTGCTCACGGGATACTCAGGTGTTATAGGTGAGCTGTGCCAGGCTAGGTGCACACAGAGGCTATCGCGTCAAGTTGTGGAAGGCTCGCTGGTGGGAGGAGTCCACCGGACAGACCCAGGTTTTATAGGTTGACTTGACTGACAGATGACTGGCAGAAGACGCACGACCTGTGCTCGCCACTGTGCTAATTCATTGTTTTATCCCGTGGGCGTTCTACTCGTTGTTGTGAGCGTCGCTCAACTCCCACAAACACACACTAAGATCCCCCGTATAGCCTGTAACAGACTGTAGGGGCAAGTGCTGTGAGCGAGCACCTACACACACACTCTCTCGTTCACTCGCAGAAAGATTGTTTGCCGATAAATAATTCACGCGAGTTTGCGATGGTCTGGGCGTCGGGGTCTGCCCCCCGTGTCTCTGCGCTCCATTAGCGGAACATCGTCATCCTATACGAAACCGCACCAGCAACTGAATAGCGATCGTTGAAAAAAAACATAACCGATAACCCTTGTCAGAAACGATTATCGGTTCCGGAACCGGTCATAGTTTCCAGTGGAATTTTAGCAAATGCATCGATTGCGCGGCACGCACCGGCGCCGCTGTGGCGAGATGTTAACTACCTCGCCTGGTGTACACGAGGTCATAAATTCGATCTCGACCATGACGCCTGCTGTATATTTGGAGTTTGCATGGCTCCCTCTCCCCGTGGTCTCGTGGATTTTTCTCCGGGTTCCCCCCACCCCCCCCTCCACATTTAGAAACACGCGTTTAGAATATTTGGCTGCTATCAATGTCCACATAAGCCACTTCGTTGAGCCATCATTTATGGCTCGGTCGCTTCTGAAAAAGAGCTACACGGTTCAGTTGGCCTTACCTGGTAAAATAAAAAAAATATTTCTATTCTTTGCCCTAATTTTCTCCGTTTACAAGACGCAGCCCCCTAACATTGGCTCGCTCTCGCCACAGCTGACGGAAGGGACCTCCCCACTCGAGGGAGCTCTCGAGTGATATTTGGCCAACTCGTCCACACTGGCCACACGTGTTGGAAACGATGTGCGTTACCCCCCCACCACTGCCACCACACGCGACCTTGCCCATCGACTCTGGGTGGACAGAGGCGTGTGGGGGTATATTTAAGAAACGCACCCCCATTGTGTTAACTGCCGCGCCAGGAGATATACTTAAACTGACGACCTCTGAACATTCCAGTGTGCTAACCACTACACACATTACACCACGCACGGCAGCTCCCTTCGTTTATCAGTTAAAATGTTAAACCATTACGTTTAGTGCTGCGGACATGTCTGCATGATGCGTATAATCGTTTTCTTTTTCCATCCGGTAATGCAAATCCTCCGCTCCCCCTCCTCCCTCCACTCCCGCCGTGAAGGATTCTCCAACCAGCCCTTCCCAGATCCCCAGCACCAGGTTCTCCGTGCCCAGCAAGTGCCCTAGCCCCCAACCCCCCCACCTCACAACCTCGCAGAGCCACCCCCTTAGAGAGTTGGGGGGGGGAGCACTTAAGGCATAGCAGATAAGGGCGTCTCCATCAGCCCCATGCATAATACATGGGGCTACTGCTGCGAAAATGCCACACCAAACCAGGAGTGGCACACGCTGTACGGCACTTGTACACAAATATCCCCCCCGCAGCCTGTAACAGACTGTTCAGGCAATTGCTATCAGCGAGCACCTATGAAGAGCGTGCGTAGGGGTGGCTGGCCGCCTCTGTCTCTACCAATGCTGATGTTTACACTACGCGACAGTTCTACATTTTAAGGTTGAGACTACCTAAGGGAGACCCAGGACCGTTTCAGTGTCGGTGGCCGTGAGCGGGGATTTAACTCGGGTCGCACGCTACCCGCTGCACACAAACACGTAAAATACACGCACGCATAGTCAATCACGCGCATACACTCACACGTAATACTGTACCGTACAACAGCCAACATTTACCACGAAATGGAAGTGACACCAGAGCGCTTTATGCATGGTTAGGTGCACTTTGAGGCTGTTACATGAAATGTGGAGTGGCTCGCTGACAAGTGACGGGACAGATCCAGGCGTGACGGGTTGGCTGACATGACAGGTGGGGGGTGCACCACCTGTGCGCCCGACTGTGCCAACTTGCTGCGTTTTAGTCGCCTGGCGCCCCGCTCGTTGTTGTGAGCGTTGCTCCTCTGCCCTCCCCGCTGTAGTTGGGAGGCGATCGCCTCCAACTGCCCAGTAGCGTCCTGCACGAGCCTCCTCCACAGAGGCCGACGTTGACACTGCTGGTACCAGTCTTCGGTAAGTCCACTCAGGTCCACATCCTCCTTTACCCACCTCTGCTATAGCCCGTGCCGCGCCCGTTTAGTCCCCTCTATCCGGCCAAACAGAAGCTGCTTGGACATGCACATGGCGGCTGGGCATGCGGGCTGCATGACCCAGCTAATGCAGCCTCGCTTGCCGGGAAGCTCACTGTTGGGACTGTCACGCACACACTCAAATAAACACACTGCTACCTATAATTAATGTACCATAATTAATTCACTATGTAACACGATTTTTGTCCATGGGTAGTGTTATTTTTTAATTGGTTATGCCTAAAAAGTATAGAAAATGGCTATTCCCCACAAACTTTGCTTTTGTGACCAGGACTTTGTGAAGGAATGACACAAATGCACACCACGTTCTCTCACTGAAAATAGGTAAATTTCAAAATATCACTGTTTTGGTCACAAAAGCAAAGTTTGTGGGGAATATCCATTTTCTGTATTTTTGAGGCATAACCAATTAGGAAATAACACTTACTACCCAGGGCCAAAAATATAAAATTTGTTACACAACCAAGAATCATCACTATCATCATTCACGTGAATCGTCAACCCCCTTCTCTTCGACCTCGTCTGTCGGGACATGGCACGAGCAGCTCCCACATCCCTCACTCCACCCACCACCCTCCCTGTCCGCCCAATGTATCTACCACCCCTCACCCCCCTCCCTCAAAAGGAGCCCCCCACATCCGCTCATCCACATCCTTTATTGATGTGCTAACGCTACAGCTGGAAGCCATGGCACTTGCACTTTCCCCACCGGGAATGCGCGCGTGCACACGTGGTCTTACCGCTAACAGGAGAAGCAATTATATCACCGACTGATGTCCCTTTATTCAACCAAACTCGCTGACATCCACCATCTCCCTTTGCAAGTAACATCATAGGTGACCCCTTCGTGTTAAAATGATCGATTCGGCTAATGTCTTGGCTGGGATGCGAGATTCTCCAGTCGGCGATAGAGCTGCAGCAATAGTATCGATAAAAGCTAACATCACGTCGAGGCAAGTTATGTTACCGGGCCTCCTGAAAACAATAGAAATGACTCGCAGGACTGGGGGGGGCGAATGGATTCGTCGATTTAAAATCGATTCTTAGGCTCACGGTTCGCGAATCAAATCTAGCATGTGAGAATCGATTTTTTTGTCGATTGTGCGGGTTGCTTGGCCATACTTCACCCCACGCTCATCTGTGCAGGTTGGTGAAGGGAGTTGGCCCAGGGCTACTTGTTCTGATATCACTCGTCACGGACGTTGACCATGGCCGGGAATACAACTCAGGTCCCCTGGGTCATAACGCAGCGTGCGATACAGCAGTGCCACACCGCTCAAACCGTGTGATATGTTTGTATGTGGCTAGGTCACACGATCCCTGCAACCGCGAGAGGAGTCACAGGGTGTGACGCAATGTTAAAAAGAGGCATAGGTTCTAAAATAAAATTGTGAAAATTAATTGACATCACAAAGTCAGAGCACGGGGGTGGTGGAGCGGGTGGTGGCAAATCATTACATAACCGACAACACACACGGGCTTTCAGAAACGTGGACCTCCTGGCTAGAAAGTTCACTCTGGCCTCCGCACGTGTAACATGTTCCCTTCATTTGAGGACGGGTGGCTCAGAGGTCAGAGGGCACTGGGCCACTATCGCTGAGACCCTGGGTTCCACTTAGGGGCTGTAGCCACCTGTAGTCAGTGGTCGCAACCTGGTCATTATGACTCGCATAAAGAGACCCACAGAGACACTCGCATAGACGACGAAAGATTGACGTAGAGACTGATTTGTGATCAAAACTAGGCTCTCATGTGTTGGAAGTTGATGGTCTCAGCCAGGTCACCAGTGATTGTACGTACAAAAAAAACTCGTAACAATAAATTGGGGGTTTCACTTAATTTGGCTACATTCCTTCGAGAATTAAAAACATTGATTTGACAGTTATGCGACAAACATTATCCGTAGCACGGCGGGAAGGAATGTGCTGCCCCCCCTGGTGTGGATGAGAGCTGATTTAAAGGGACTTAACGAGCAATTTTGTAGCTATCCTCTTCTGCGAACCTTTCTCCAAATCGTGACGTTTTGTGAGTTTCTAGCGAGTTCTTCGTCCCATTGCTCCAAGACGCCAGCAAACGGAATAAAATTTGGGGGGGGGGGGCAAAGAAAAAAAGTTTTACAAAATGTTCCCTTGGATGATGTCCGCACCCTGATAAAGCCCCTCGCTGGCCCAAACGCTTAAACCGGGTTCCCCCCACAAACCACTCCTAGTTGCCCCCAAGCCCAAACCTCCATCTACGTGGGATATTGCATCGGCTACAAAGCTACGCGAATTCCAATCTCTGCCGACTGCACAGAAGACAAAACACGGACGCCTTTTAAATTCAACGAGCAGCGCGCGCGCACGGGACATCGCGAGGCACAAGAACCATACAACCACGGCTACGGGCTACGAGTTTGGCACGAATGGTCACGGTGGTGTCCGAAATCGTGAACGTGAACGAAGTCTCAAAGGTGACATTTTGGAAACGGCTGTGGAAATGCACAAGGGTTAAGGGAGCTTCTGTCATTCCCTTTCAAAAATGTACGTCAATTGCTGCAAATACAAATGTGTATTTTTAAAATACACATTTGTATTTTCAGTGCCATGGCAACATGTTGGGGTGGAGGGAGGAGAACGAGGCATAAGTGCGGTACCACCTTATGCTGCCTCCCTATAGTATTTACTGCACCCTGCAGTAAATTATCCAACAAAAATGACCATGCCAAAATTGTAGCCTTAACCATGACCTGGGCAGCAGTCTACCCATAAGCACCTGGGGAAATGACGTCTACCAATGAGCACCTGGGCCAGCGGTATGTAGTAATAGGGTTGCCGCGATATCATTTCTAACGATACCCCTTTTAAATTTCGCCACCCAACGATTATCGTGACATCAGTTTCTCCTTTATTTTGAAATGTATTTGTGCTTCGATGTGCTTCCAAGTACAAAATTTCGACTGCAGCTCCCTCAAGAAGAAGGGCCAATGCCCAAAAATATCGCCTATTATATATTTTTCCTTATATGGCAGCAGTGTTATTGACGAATGTGTTGAGATTTTTTTCCCCATTATCGCAATACATTGCGGGATCAACATAACGAGGCAACCCTATCGTCTCGCCGCTAGCCCTTTGGCGGCACTGCCTATAGGCCGTGGGCTGTTATAACTGTTGCTGTAATAAATCAGTATAAAATTACACTTGTTTTTCAGCACGCCTTAGCTCAGGAAGGGGGATTGGGGGTTCACGGAGCAAATGCACAGGTCCCTGATAAGTCCACTCCAAGCTTTAGCCTCATCGCGAGGTCTTGCCCCAGATCTCACTGCTCTTACCCAACCTCACTCAACTTACGCGCACACACGGAACAACATCTTCACAATCGTGTTTCTGCTCTTCTGTAACAAAATAAACCTCCTCCCCCCCCACCTCCCATCTTCACGACAGGTGGCAAGGCCACGATCCACTGGGGCAATGCGAGGGCAATCTTCGACAGCGATCGTCGCCGACAACGCCTGCCGCCGAGTTGCCACAGTCGCTCCTCGTGATACTAATTATGGATGCGTTGCTGGTGACAGTTGCCGGCTACGATTGCCCTAAAGTCGCCCGAGTGGACCGTGACCTTATCGCCGACGCGTCAGCACGGCGGCACGAGGCGCCGCCGCTTGACACACTGCCAGATCCAGTCGACGGAAACGCGCTGGGCCTTGGGCGGGAGTGCCGCGGGGGGCCCCCCGCTGTCCGCCGGTGCCGCCGCCGCCGCCACTGCATGAGTGGCCGAGTCCATGTCGTGGTCGGGCACCAGGTCGCCGTCGTAGGCGAAGAAGTAGCGCCGCGCGCGGTCGTAGCCCTCCGCGGACGCCGGCAGGTGCAGGCGCACGCCCGTGAAGATGTTGAGCAGCGTCTGAGCGTAACGGCGCGGAGACGCACAGCGCCACCGGCGGCAGCGTTATTAGTCCACGAGCCCAGACCAGATGAAGTGTCACATCGTTGTTTAACGAAACACTCACAGTGAAAAGTTTGCCGGTGCATCAGAGGAGGGGTGCTCGCTACAACAGGGTTAATGACAATGTGAACTGGGCCTTCGGAGAAACGGCCGAGAGCATTAACGCATCATCGCCGCGTACGAGTACATTTGCACCTGTACAGGCCTCTTCGTCAAAGGCAAAATTAAAACATCACCCGGATACACTTTTACAGTATTCACGATACAGTATGAGCAAACTGTGTTAGAAAACGAACGATAATTGGTTTGGCAGTTCACGCGACCGTTATGGGTGGTCGCACGCGCTGTACGGCGGTATAAATCAATACAAGAGAATATACGTTTCTGTAGCTACGCCCGTAATTAACAGGGGGATTTTTTACGAGCGTGGCTCGTTTTAACGGTTGTAATTCACTTGTAGGCACCATCTGAGGTGGCACAACTTTACCGGTTTCAATGTCTGTATGTGGCCAATAATGATTAATTACGTGATGTCTATTTTAAATGAGTTGGGTTTAGTTGGTACTCATTTCTCCTCCAGCCCCTGGACTATATTAACGTGGAGGCTCGGTTACTCTTAAGGCGAACTCCATCGTAAAGCTGATAACTGGGCTATTAATCCAGAAACAAAGTTATCAACAAGATAACTTGGGTCATTACTCCTGTGACCCAGCGCAGCAATGAACTGGACAACTCTTATGAACTTGGCAACTCTGTTATTAGCTGAGCAACTCCACTTTCACCCCAGCACCTTAATTTAGCAACCAAGGAACTCGGTTAACAAACCAACAACTCGGTTAAAAATATAGTAACTCGGTTATCAATCAGGGAATTTGATTATCAATAAAGAAACTTTGAATTAAAAAAAACCGCCCAGCTATGAAGCATTCTCTTCCCAAAGGCTGCCTTGTTTGGCGGATGTCAACACCTCTAGCCTACAATCTTTTTAGGAAGGTATGTTGTACCTTACAGTAATGGGCTGTGGGTGCTGCCAAGGCCCTAAAACATTAAACAATCAATCTGGACCAACAGGCTCCACACCTCACCTCTTCCTGAGCCTCGGCGCTCCTCTTCCTCTTCACTGGCGCAGGTGGCATCACGGGCGGAATTACAGCCGGTGCCAACGCCAACGCCGGTGCCAACACCGGTTTTGTGTCGGCGCGACTCGGCTGCTTGGGCTTCCGGCTGGCAGAGGCGCCTGGGAACAACCACACACCAACAACCGTAAATATGGCACGCGCCGTCTGTTTCACTGTGGGAGGAAAACGAAACTCACAAAGTTATTCGAGAGAGAGTAGGCCAAGTGTGCTGGCATGGTTGCAAATTTGCCAAAGTTCATGTCTTAATTGGAAAAAAAACATGTTGCAATATCGTCACCTACTGCTTATTAATAGGATGGCAATGTGTGTGCCTTGTGCCTCACAGGGATAGCTGCTACTGGGGGGGGATCTCCTTGGCTAGACTGCAGCAGGCAATTGGTTTGGTTGAGATGAGATGAGCTGTAAGGTGCTTTCAGATAAGCCCTATATAATCCTTACACTTAACGCCAGACATGCGGCCAGCGGCAGGGTCGTGCGGGGGCCAGACTAACCCACAAACCGACGGGGAATGTACCGAGTAAGGTTGTGAGTGAGGAGGGGCCCTGGGTGTGAATGACTTTGTGAGTGGTGGTCTATCTGCCAGTCATCTCAGTCAACCCATGGCACCTGGGTCTGCCCTGTGACCTCCTGCCAACGGGTGCTCGACACTTCACGTGGCATTCAAGTGCACATCGCCTGGTAAAAGCGCCGTGGTGATGTCACCACCACTTAGTGGCGAATGGTGGTTGTTGTTGTTGTGGGGCCCTGAGTGTGAGTGACAACGCGTGAGTGTGTACAAGTGGCATGTACCGCGTGAGGCTTTGTGCGAGGCTTTGGCCTTGCTGCTGCTGCTGGTGGTGGTGGTGGTGGAGGGGCCCTGCTTGGGGGAGGAGGAGCCCGAGCCGTTGGTGCTGCCCCCCGGCGTGGCCGGCGCTGACTCGGAGTCATTCTTCACGGTTGATCCGAGCAAGTCCATCACGTCCGAGTTCTCCTTAGACTTCTTGAAGAGCTCCTGAACATTAATGCCGACGACGTCATCAACATCAAGATCATTCGGATCATCCTAGACATTCATATCAGTGTCATCATCGTTATGAACATTAATATCGGCGCTTGCACATATCAACTTTGCTGACACAGTTCGACCTAGCTACAATTACAAATGTAGAAAAATGAAAATTTTTGAATCACATCAAATATACTCACTCTTTGGTTCTTTCGGTAAAGTCACGTAGGTATAAAATGAAATAAATTAAATCATGACGTTTCGGGCGCAACACAAGCGTCCGTGAGCAGGTGGGACAACCACAGCAAGAAACAATTGCTGAAGTGGGCAAAAGGGCTGCTGTAACAAGAGGCTATATAGGCAAGCGCGGGGGGAGGAGCAAGGGGGGAGAGAGGGGGAGTGTGGGGTAGGGGAGTGCTGCGAGAACGTTCAGAGGACGAGCAGACAAAAATACCGGGGGGGGGGGGGGGGGGAGAAGTGGGCGGGGCTGGGAGTGGGGAGCTGAAGAAGCTGGAGATGTGGACATGAAGGCAACACCATAAAGCAGTTAAGGTTTTATATGGTTAATAACATCCTTTCTAGATTTGAAGCTTTCGTGACTGCAAGGATCCATACTCTTTGGTTCTATTCGGTAAGTCACCAAAGAGTATAATAACATCCTTCCAATGATTGCTCAATTTGTATCCATGTTCTCAGTTGAAGTTATGTCTATGTTTATACATCTGGATGGCTTCATGAACAAACCTTTGATAGTAGCCCGAAGGTTTGCAGAGTACCTTGGTCTCGGTAAAAAACAATATCATGAGAGCCCACAGCGTTATAGCAATGGTCAGCCACGGCGGAGGTATTAGTTCTGCCGTGTTTCAGATCTGACTTGTGCTCGCGAACACGGTCCGAGATATGTGGTTTCGTTTCCCCAATGTAACACCCACCACATTAAATGTCCTTTTTAAATCCAGTACAAAACCAGTGATGGAAAATATCTACACCGATTTGTAGATGTACAGCCCTTCTGTCAATCCACTCCTGGGTCGGGGTCTCCCTACGCCATGCGGGTTATGGGGGTTACGTGACCATACTTCACCGCGCTGGTCAGTGCGGGTTGCTGAAGACAGATTTGGCTGCACTGATGCTTGTTACCCACAGTATAGCACAACCGCGCAGTCACCTCTGACACCGGTATTATGCACGGCGGTGGTCACTCATGCAAGCACTATCCATTCTCAAACTTGCTTAGCTTCTGAGATCTGACGAGATCAGGCGAATTACAGACGGTTTTTTTGTCACAAGCTGTGGTACAATAATATCCAACACACTACCATGATAATTGCGCTGCGGGATATGGCTGCAGTTCAGACCCATGCCACCAATGAGTCTGGGGCCTGCGCTAGGATGAACCGCCGCAGCCACACCGCGCGCTAGCGGCAGGAGGCCACACGGACTGCACAGCCTTGGAAGCATGACCTTGTCTATGGGGGTGGCAGGGGGAGGGGCGTAAACAAAAACTCAGGGGGGCATGAGAAAGTCAATGTTAAACAAACTTTACACAAGTGTTAAACCCTACACATTGATGAGTAATGATACGATCTGCCTTTGTAATTGATGGGAAGACGAACGCAAAACGCCTAATAGTTGCAGCAAATTTCATTCTATGATCATTTAGGTGGGCTGAGCCCTCTGCATGGGGGTGGGTCGGTGGGGGGGGAGGGAGCAGGACGTTTTGGAGTTGGGACGGCGGGGTCAGGGGTCGAGCGGCATGAGCAGGAATGATGCCAGAGGGGGGTTCGCGTGGCCACCTTGAGCTGCTGCAGGGTCGTGGCGCTGCGCCAGTCCTTGTCGTCCCTCATACGCGTGCAGCGCGGGAAGCGGATGGAGATTCCGTCGGCCGAGTGTGCCTCGGCCTTGGAGAACTCTGCGCCCGTGATCTCCCACACTGGCGCTTTCTGACACGTGCACACAGAGACAAAGATCCCCTGTATTCCCTTAAAAAAAACTGTTGGGGCAAGTACTGTTAGCGGGCACCTATGAAGGCCGGCAGAGCACACGTGGGGATGGGGTGGCCAACACCGGTAGTGTCCCGCCAGTATTGATGCTTTCACTCCGCAACAGGTACTCATTTAAGTCTGGGTCGACATAGGGAAGGATGAAGACGCGTTCAGATATTCGTCGTTGATGTTGGCCATGAGGCGGAATCAAACACGGGTCGCCGGGTTCGTAGCACCGTGCACTAACCACTACATTACTGCTCCCCGTGATACAAGCATACACCCTTAGAATCTTACACACGCGCACATTCACACAAAAATACTCGCAAACTACTCAGTTGGGATTACACAGAGCGATCATTGCCCACTGCTGACAGATTAAAGCCCGATTGCAGGCCATTCACCGTGTCCCTGCCAACAGAGAGAAGCTGCCCACTGCAATAGGTGCCTCTTCAAATGTGTTGTGACAAGGTGTAATTATTGTAAGCTACTTATTGCATGTGAAGCGCATTGCAATGCTCCCACGTAAAGGAGTGCAGCTCTATCAAAAATCACATGATCATCGTTATTATGCTAATATTACATTGATTTGGGGGGGGAAGGTAAGGGAAACTTCAGATACAAGCACATGTCATATAAAAGCACAGCTGGACTTTTGATTCCGATTGTTGTGATCATGTCCAGCCTCTTGCTTGCACGTGCTTGCACGCCGATCTGACGCGACCGCACAAGAGATTCTGCCGTCTAAGCCGACACCAACCTTTGGGTCGCGGATGACGAAGTCGGGGAAGTATGTCTTGTTGATTTTCAGCCAGTCGGGGATTTTTGATGCACTCTAAGAAAGTTGGTGACAAAACACACACCGGCCGCATACAGCGTAAACCAATGATAAGAGAGCAAACGAAACATGAATATCATTCAGAATATACAAATTCTGTGGGCACAAGTTTATGTGGCATGAGGTCCGACGTTTCGCTCCGCGTGGTGGAAACTTTACAGAAGCTTGTGGGGTAAAGTGCGAGTATGCCCACCTCTTCCCATATGTCAGGGTCAACGTGGAAGAGTAGACCAATTCCCCACTGGAATTCACTCCATCCCTTAATGGCATGAGCAAGCAAATGCGTGAGCCACACCTTAATTGTTTTAGTGGGGGTATTTAGAAACGGATCAACCTGCGTTATCATGGTTAATTTTTCCCCAAATAAGGCAGAGGATTCTGGGCACTGGTGAGCTCTGACCTTGCTGATCTTGACCATTTCGAGCTCCTTCTGCAGCCGATTGAGGGTGGCGTCATCGTACCCACTGGAGCACTTGGTCACTGTGCACCAGCGCCCCGAGTTCTCGTCGTAGCAGCCCATGAGGAAGATGGACATAATCCCACCTGGAAGGCGCAAAAACATTAGTGGTGGGGGGTTGGGAAAGCGGTTAGGTCGTGGCATGGCTGTTACCCGGAGCTGACGTACGTTGCGAGTGAGCAAAGCGACGAGCGTCAGATCACGTCGGCTTTACCCGGTCGCGCAGACACAAACGCTGCCTCGTGGCTGGGGGAGTAAAATTATAACGTAGGAGATAAAACGCAAAACACGAGGCAAGCACAGAAAATGAAGATAAGGATATTTTGCATAATGGACAAGACGATTATCGTGGATCTTATATCTCCTTTTGGCATTGTCTGGTCTAGCACTGATGAGACGTTGCCATAAAGAAGGCTGTCTCTGGTGGAGACCAACCAGTTTCAAAGTCAATGCGTATATTATCAGAGCATGTTTGTTTGCATTTCTTGACACAAGTGTGTGTGATTAATGCATATTTGATGCCTTGCAAAAAAAGTATCTATTTTGTGTTTGAACATCTTAACACCTCTTGTTTTATTGCAAGGGTAAAACCTCTACACATGTTCTCATCATTTTGATACTGGCAAAAAGGTCCCGTAGATAAACTCCAGATTGACATACTTTTTCTCCCCTTATTTTAAACCAAAAGCTGGGGCTGTGTCTTATAATCCGATAACTGTGTGTGCAGGTGACCATATGTGTATAACTAGTGTTGCCAACGGGCACAAGTTTTGGGGCGCATCTTAACTCCCGAGGACACGGTACCAATGCAACAAATGTACCGAAATGCCATCACCAACACCACCGCTGCCGTACCACGATGCCCTCTCCTCCCAGGCCTCACCATTGCTGCCGTGGCCATAGTATGCGCCCAGCACAGCCAAGTCCGCCGTGTCCGCCATGGCGCCCTGGTTGAGGTAGTCCTTCTTCACCTTGAGCCAGTGCCGCTTGCCGGGCTCGTAGATTCCCTGCGACGCGAGCGCGCAAAAAGGCGTCGTGAGCACGTCCGCAAAGGGTGAGGAGATAGCTCTCAAAGTGCCTCACAAGTGGATTGAAGTGGGGTGGAGTGGCTTCTTGTGTAACGCGTGAAGATGTGGCTGGCAGAGCGGTGAGCTGTTTAGTCTCACCAAGACGTCCTTCAACACCAGCCCTTCCAGACCCTCCTTAATGACCCGGGAGATCATTTCAGCCAAGTCCGAGGCTCTCTGATGGCAACACGAGACACAAGGCTTAGTCAACGGCTCAACGCACTCTTTATCAATGGCTCAAAACAGTGTCAACCATCAGAATAGCAGGGTCGGTGATAATTCACGAGACCATCTACAATCGAATGCTCAGGGTTATACAAATCAAAAGCAAATTAGAATATAACTTGACGAGCATGAACAGCACAACATCCACCAGCAGCACAAGACAATGCACATCCAATTCGCATGGTTGGCTATGTGTACGGTGAGAAAGAAGTTCAACATATATACATACACATTCAATGCACACCAGTAACTTAGCTTTCACGAAACCATCTCTATCAACAGCTGAAGCTAACGTAAATCAGTGGCATGATACAATGTAACATAGACAGCATTTTCACAGCCATCTGTCGTACCATCTTACAGTGGTAACGTCAACCAGCAGTTTAACGTAATCCTACCTACGTAGCATTTCAGAACAAAAATTATTCGGTGAAGCTGCATTGTCAATGGTGTACAAAGCACAATCACCATACTTGTCAATAACGGTGTGGCATTAAAAGGAAGGGCCATTGCGCCAATAATAATCATTAAAATGTATAAAGCGCCCTTGAACAATCGTTCTCAGGGCGATATTCAACCACGTCTCTCTTAAAAAAATGCCAGGAAACATCAAGAAACATTGAAGATTAACTTTAATTCAAGAAGCCCGCTGCTATCATGTGTTCGATGAATCACGCACCGACAGAATTCTCTCCGGACTGGCTCGAGGCAAAAACTTCGTTGAAAATGTTTCTCAAATTAAAATCCAGGTCTATTCCAGGAAAATTGGGTTTCCTGCCTCCCGAAGGCAGGAAACCCCCCCCAGGCCACGGCCAGCGTGATTGCGCCTGCTTGTACGGAGGGCGTGAGTGTGCGCTGGAGCTCCGTGATGGGATTTACCGTCACGTGCTTCATCTCCGAAAACAAGATGTGGTTGGGGATTTCGACCATATTGTCGTGGAGGAATTTTCTCCGATCTTTGATGCTCCTTGAAACACACAAGACACATGGGACAGGGCTGTTAATGCAAACATTTCAATGTCACCCGGGCGGCGGCGGTGGTGGTGGTTACGCTTGTATCCAGCACTGTGGAGTCAACGAGGGTTGGTGGATCGCACAAATGTTGTGAGACTCCCTTCCCAGAAGCGTCGAGGGGCCATACCCAGGGTCGCCTAAATAGAGAAGGCTGTCTAGCAAAGTGTAGGCCGATAATATCTGTCCCTTCTGTATGGGAATAGAGGGTTGTGCCCTGACATGCATGTGGGTTTTAAGTTTCCTCCCACATACATTAACACTCATTAACTGTTTGAAAACATCTCAATATATAGAGGACCGTCGCACTTGGGCAATCGTTGGTGCCGGCTCATCGTTTGGTGCCGGCTCATCAGCTTGTCTGTGGTTCCTCAGTTATTGCAAGATGCCATTTGCACGATACTATAGATATCCTATGGTTCTTTTGGTAAAGTCACATAGATAGAAAAAAATAATAAAATGCAAATAAAGTGAATATAAATAATAAAAATATCACGATATATAGAAAAAACATAACGTTTATAATAATCTTGATATTTTCACATCAAGGCTGCGCTCCAGCTATGGTTCTTAATTTATTTTCGATTAGTTTCAATAATTGATTGTTGATTCCAAAAGTCATGGAATCGATACATCAAATCTAGATCTATAAACAATTGAACTGATCGATTGGCCTGCAGTGTTCATACCACATGGCGCGGTTCCAAAATATGATTGGTCAGCGGCAGCCAACATCACTGATGAGCCTTGCCAACGGTGCCTACCAGTGGCAGGGATCATCAGTCACCATGAGGTATGTTCGGACACAAAGACAAAGATCCCCCGTATAGCCTTCAGATACTGTTGGGACAAGTGCTGTAAGCAAGCACCTAATGAAGGCCGGCACGGCACACGAGGGGGTGGGTGGCCAGCACCACGCCAAACGGCCTATGTCTCCCTAGTGATGATGTTTACACATCGCACCAGGTACTCAATTGAGGCCGAGTCGACCTAGGGGAGGCCCAAGACCGGTTCAGATATTCGTCACTGGTGTTTGCCGTGAGCAAGAATCGAAATCGGTGTTTCCTGGTTCGTACCGCAACGTGCTAACCTATACACCACGATCGGACACACACACACACAAATAGGGCTGGACCCTTTTAACTTCGCTAAGATAATTCTATGCATGTGGCAAACGACTATTGACAACGCTAACAAAAAACTAAATTAACAAGCGCGTTCCCAACACTGAGCCCCAGCTCGCTGCACTCACGTGCATAACAGCAACTATTCATGTGTCGTCTTACCTGTCCATGAGGCTTTCCCCGTTGAAGTAAATGCAGTCGAACACAAACAGACACACGTTAGCGTCCTGAAATGCAGCTTTCTGTAAAACAAACCGCGGCAACGTTGTTAACGGTAAGGCAACGTGAGTTTACACTGCAGACATTTGAACGTTTATTCCCCTGTACACTTCAATTTCCCAGATGGAGAAGAGTGGCCATAGAAGGCAAGATCGCAGCAAGGCAGACGCACAGAGAGACAGAGAGGGAGAGACAGGTATTTAGGATAAGACAAAGGCAGGCAGGACGGCATGCTGAAGACAGACACTGTTACAAACAGATAGACAAACATTGACACGCAGAAAAACAGACACATTGTGATGTACGCTGTGTGACACAGACAGACGTAACACACAGAAAGACACTGCAAGCAGACAGTGCCACATGTGGTCACCTTGTGCACCCCGAGCGTGCCGAAGGGCAGCGGTTTGCTTGTGCTCGTGTCGATGAGCAGCACCTCCGCATCCAGGATCATGCTGGTGCCCCCCGGGAATGCCTTGGGGATATAGTCTCTGAAGTGCGCCACCTGCACGGACGTACACACACGCAAGCATGCATGGGCGCCAGCTCGGCAGCTCAGTAAGAGGGCCTGGTGCATCATGCCACTCGGGGGGCGGTGATGCAGCCCAGTGATAGCCCATTTCCCGCTTGCAGCGAATGGGCTGATGTTGCTGCTGAGTGTGTAATTTTTACAGCATTGGGTTTTTTTGGTCAACATCAGTTACACTGTCTTGTTTTATTTTTAACTAGGAGAGGAAATTATAGAACCCAGAGGAAAGCCACGCAGAATAAGATGAACATAAAACTCCTCCTGCATAAAGGTACCCGAGTCAGGAATTGAACCCAAGTGCTTCTTGCAATGAGGCCCAGGTGTTACTGCTCTGCCGCCACCCTGCCACCTTGAGTAATTGCGATATACCTTGTGGGGCAGCACGGGCTTGAGGCTGCGGCTGAAGTACTGGAAGGAGTCTCCGTTCTTGTGCACCTGCACGCGCTCCCCATCGTACTTGATCTCAGCGTACATGCCGTTGGGACACTTCTTCATGGCATACGCCACAGACTTGCACGCTTCCGCCTGCATGCGACAAGGTGACACGGTGACGAGTGGCCTCACGTCACGGGCGGCGAGCCAGCCAGGGGGAGTGGAGCAAGCTTGTGGGTGAGTGAGTGGGCGAGTGAGGAAGGCAGTGAATGGTTGGGATAAAAGAGCAAGCGGGAGGATGAGCATGGTGGGAGGATGAGCATGGTGGGTAGATGAGCGACGTGAGCGAACGAGCAGGCTTGTGGTTGAGCGAGTGCGTGGGCAGGTGAGCGAAGTGAGTAAACGGGCAGGCGGGAGTGAGCAGGGTGGGCGAGTGAGTGATCGAGTGGCTAAGTGAGCTAGAAGGGAGGAGGGTGGATGAGTGAGTGAACAAGCGGGCAGGTGGGCGAGCAGGTCAGGTGGGTGATTAAAACGAGCAAGTGAGCAAGATGGGTGGGGGGTTAGGCACCAGCATGGGCTGCACGGGCGTCATGAGGGAGGCCGTGACGGAAAGTGCTTTCCGCGAACCATCCTGCCAGTTCTGCAGGACGCGGTCGACAACGTCCTCCAGGTTCCGAGATGCCTTGAACGCATCGTACGCGTTCGGGTCCAGCCCATCCAGGCTACGGCACACCATGGCACATCACGGTGCAGCACAATAGGTAAACAGTGGGCACAATCTCATTTCATCCCTCCCGCGATATAATGGCCACTATTTAGAGCCAAGATTTAATTTCACGATCACCAGGGTTAGCGCGAATGTTACCCTGAGCTAGTGTGAGATATAATTTTGACTCCATAGGATGTGGAACCCGGGGTCAAAATACACGACCGGTTTATGGTTAGGCTTTGGATTAGTGGCATCTTCCCCAAGATTTTTTAAAACCTTGTTCAATTTGTCTTTCGTTGATAAGAAGGTAAAAGACTGAAAAAAATACTGCCAAGATAATTGCAGCTTTGACAAAGTAAAAATGGCCAGAACTGCCCAGGGAGTAAAACTACCAAGGAAGAGTTAAATAATAGATGGTGTTTTTACCCAATGCTTATGGGGGTCAAAATACTATCCCACACCGCTGCTGCTACGGTGGCACCTGGTGAACAGTGACCCCACACAGGAGCATGGTAAATACCGAGCACACAACTTGTAACACAGCACATGGTCAAAGCACACGCAGTTAAATACACACACACACACACACCACCCAGGACACACCACAGGGCCAGATCTAAACTTAAAACACGTTTTCAACTTGATCAAAAATCCAATGAACGATACCACAGAATGACATAACTGAAGAGAGATCGCGTCGTTTAAACAGCAAGTGTGGTATGTAAAAGCCACCGCCAATGCAGACACTCCGACTGGTGACCTACATGTGCTTTGCGCCAGCATTCATTTTGAGGTCGTGCTTGATGAGGCGGATAATGCACTTGAGGTCATTGGAGGTGCATCTGCGAAACACAATTTACAAATTAGAACGCGCAATGCTGAAGCGGGAGAGATTCACGGCGGTCACACGAGAGAGCCGAATAATACATCAGCATATTCCGAACCGCAAAGCCCACGAAGACCGCTGCGTCCAACCTCGGACGATGACGGCGCCGGCACTGTAGGCCGCTGTCGAGTCCCGAGCTGGCGCCTCGGCGAATTTGAATAAGTAATCGATTCCAATTCAAATACGCAAGTGCACAACTCCTCCTACAGCATGAAGCATCTAAAAGTGGGGTGTGGGAACATTACTACGATGGATAACCACTTTGTAACAACCAGAAAACGATATTTATCCATCACTGCAATCGTCTTAGCGGCAACAATCGGGGAATATTTTTGCCAAGGTGGCAACTCTTTGTTTCAAATTTTAGCGCACTCAGTCACTTGTCTCTGCAACAACATCTGGCAGTGACAGTGCGCTAACCACCGAGCTCCCGCTCCCGTCGTATAAACATTATAAGTAGAATATGTATCTATGTTCACAAATCCAAACTTTTCACCAAACCCGAATTTGTTTCTGATCGTTGACTCTTCTTGCCGGAACGCACGCTGCCGGGGCAGGCATGCCCCCCTCGCGCCATACGGATACCGACCGGCGCGCTATGTCCTGCAGTTCGCCTTGCTGCTCCTCCTCCTTGGTGAGCAGGGCGAGTCTCCCCAGGAAGCCCTCCACCTCCTGCATGGTCAGCGTGCTCTTGGCGGTGGGGGTGAAGTTGCTGCTCGCTTCGAAGAAGACGCGGATCGTCTCCGACACGTCGCCCTGCACACGTAAACCGGTGACGACACCATGCACATGCAACATATGTAAGAAGTAAAGGAGCAGCCCTGCAATTGCTTCATCATGGCACTGCCGGCAGAAGTGCCTCCTACTCAGTTTTTAATTTGGTGAGTTAAGGGGAATTATTTAAGGGAGACTTGAAACTACCCTCCCTGCCGGCAATAAGCGCGGACTGGATGTCGTGTGGTAGGGCGACACTAACCTTTTCCAGGTCGCGCACCATATCATCCAGGCTGCAGTTGAACACGCTGCTGAAGAGCTTCACAATTTGCTTGTCCTTGATGTTGTAGACGGACTTGACAACGCCCGGTAGGAGCAGCTTCACCGTCAAGTACACGTCGCCTCTGAAACCATCTGAAGATACACACGCACACACAGACAGATACACACATGCACCTGGCTACTAAGAGGCGGGGCGGGGGAAGCAGGTAGCTAATTAATTCCTTGCACCAGTACTTGTCGAACAGCTACACAGCTGGTTGTCGTAGCCTACAGACTTTTGGGGCAAGCGCTGTTAAAATATTGTCAATGGACTGTTAGATGAAGTCTTCCCCACACTTTTTGGTCCCATGTGTTTGTTTGACCAGACTTCACAATGTTCAGTGGGGGTCGGTGAAGTGCTGTTATTGGACACCAATGAAAGCCAACACAGAACCTTTGTCTCCCCAATGGCGATGTTTACACACCGCTCCACGAACTAACTTAAGGCTGATGTCAGCCGTGAGAAGGAGACGAACTCGGGTTCACCGGGTTTGGAGCGCAGTGTGCTAACCACTGCACCAACGCTGAACACACACACACCCTCACAATAACACAAAAGCATATGCAAGCCCCCCCCCCCCTTCCTGGCCCTGTAGACCCTTGAACTACCTCCGGACGTGCCCTTGCGCAGGAAGTCGTGGACGATCTGCGTCTTGCTGTTGTAGCTGGGCTGCTCGGCGATCATGGCGCACAGCTTGCGGAACTCGCGAAACAAGCAGTCCTTGTGGCTCGGGTCATATGCCGCGGTGCCGCTGGGCCGGGAGGGCACCGCTGCTGCCGCCGCCGTTATTGTTGTTGTGGGTGTGGCTGTTGAGAGGCACAAAGCAGACGGCGCAGGACTTCAAAAACGGGCCGTACACCTTAGCCCGTAAGAACCGAATATAAATTTGCTAAATAAAATTGTTTGACCTGCAAACTACTCTTTTGGGGATTGTATATTGCAATCGTTGTCCCGTCATGGAAGGCTCATGCCCGATGGCAGGCTGGGTGGCAAGTCACCTCGTGTCCACACAAGTACAGCTATCACTGTGCAGAATCGCTTACTGCACGTCAAGCGATCTGAGACCCCTTATTATTAAATTATTCTGACCCCGGGGTCAGAATACTCTGGGGACAAAAGATGATCTCACATGGTATTAGTCCCAGAAGATATCCAGTAAGCTACAGCCCCCTGAGAAACACGTAGAGAGCTGTGCTGACCTGAGAACCCGGAGAACTTGCGTGGGCCTGTCATTGATGGCCCACTGGACACCTCCATCCTAAAAGGAGAGGCCAATGCTGGCTTGGTCTGGCCTGCCGGCTTACGTGGTGACGCTCCCCTCTTCATGATGAGGTCTGCTCACCCACACGATGACGTGCGCAACATTAAATAAGAAAAAGCAGCACAACACTTGACAATCGACACTACACGAGACAAACCACACGGGACAAGATTAATGCGACACAAACAACATGACACAAACGCCACCGTGATACATGACAAACAACACGACGAGAAACAAAACACGAGGCATGCACCAAATGCGTGCACAATTACAATATTATTCAACATCAGTTAGAAATAATAATAATAAAAATTCAAGTCGCCCGCGGTGGTTGGGGCGATGGGGGCCGTTGCCTTCGATGCAGCCATTGATGAGTTCCCGCTCGGGGTCCAAGAGCCGCTCGTAGCCTTCCAGGTCGCTCAGGTCCTCGATGCGCCGGGTGGAGGGCCTTGAGCGCTCCAGTCTCTCGAAAATGCAGCGCACGTGGTGCCACTCCTTCATCTCGCCGCCGCCGTCGCCAAACGGATTGGCCACGATCTTGCCGATGCGCACCAAGCCCTTGGCGATCTTCTCCTTGCACTTCTTGCAGCCCGCCGTGCCCAGCCTGGCGTAGTCCACACAGTAGCGCTGCTCCGCCATGGCTGCAATGGCGCTGGCGAGGAGGGGGGGGTCTCGGCGGAGGAGGAAGGAGACGGGGCCCCTTTGAAGGAGGAAGACGGAGCGCGTGGATTTAAGGGGCCACGTCAGACGCTGGCTGCCCGTGCGTGACAGGAGAGGAGGTAGTGCGGTGCACCGCGCCCGGCCGACAGCCCACCGGCCCAGAAGCAGCAGCAGCAGTGGCGGCGACACCGTCGTTGTCCAGAAAGAAGCAAGGGGCATTGACAGCGGCTGAAGGACAAGACGGAACACGACAATGCAGTCAATAATGCTGCACTGGCAAATTCTGCTCCTATGCGAAATGCCGCTGCTATGCGAAATGCTGCGGGTCGCCAATAAGAATTGGGGTTTGTTGCCCCAAGGGACTCGGTAATGGGCGTGTTAATGGGTACAGTGTTACCATGTCAGGCAGTGGCATAGCGTGGTTGGCATATTTACCCGGTGCAAGAAATGAAATGAAAGACCAACTCCCTTGTCCAATATCCCCCAACTCCCTTCACATTAAATGCAACAGGACAATCTCCAGCCTGAGGGTTATCGGTGCAGTTGCACCGCCTGCACACGGATAGGGACGGGGTTGGACGCCGAGTCTACGAATGGCTGAATAATTATTTCGCAGAGCGGCAGTGTTTCTCACCACTGTGCCATTGCCGCAGCTTCAGTCTTAAGTTGTCAAGAGCAGAATTTGGTACCAAGGTGGTACAACTTTCATCATCGGTAATGTTTTATAGAACGCAGGATGAGGACCTGCCCGTGTAAATGGTCTCTAATCCACGTGGTCCTCTTTGTCTCTCAATGTAATTCTCTTAAACCGAACATGTAAAAAAAAATACGTCAATGTTTGTCTTTAGCCTAAGTCAACACTCCCTGCCCTCTGAATAAGGGCCTTTACCCGAAACGTTAGCGTATTCGAGTACACAGAGCAAAAAAACGCAACACTAAGTTCGTCATTACAAGAGAAACAGACGCGTTCTCACACCGGACTTTCGTCTCTAATCTCTATACTGTATTCGCGTACATGACGCCAAGCGGCCAGCAACAAAGAGCACCGTTGCCGCTTTAACAGACACGACTATAATGTAATGCCGTTCCTTGAACCGAGCACTGTCGTACGTAAACGCGATGGGAGCTCCCGACAGAGCAGCAGACACGAGAGGGAAAGGAGAAATACTGCGTGAAGGGCGGTAAGCGAGGGTCGGTGCCACATCATCATCATCAGAAGTGGCCGAGCACAGCCACCAACAACCCGCCCACGATGCACACACAGGAGCCCCCCCTTCCTCATCCAGAATATTTAAAGCCCAGTGAATAGGCACACGCGTTCAGTTTTTTTTTGCATTTAGTCGCTTTAAAAATCGCCAACAGTTCCTATCACTTTAATGTGTTTACACAGCCGTAGTAAGTGCCCGGGTTTGCACTGTTAACTTCGAAGGATTTTGTTCCCCTCCACCACCCCCCCCCTTCAGAAAATTCCTTTGAGTACGGTAGGTTACAGCATTGCAGTTGCCCTCAAATCACCATTTGCTTTAAAGTTCACATTGTTAAAAGAACCCCCCCCCCCAGTTAATTGGAGATTCTCAACTCAACACGTTGCGGTTCAACACAATCCCTTGTTGTACTGTACTTACGTGCTCCCACTGTATTAATATACGCAACTGAAGACCGACGTGATTGCAGTGCGGTCAAATTGACGCCCTCATCCAGCGGTGGATTAACACGCGTGCCGTACAACAATTAGCTTACGTTTTCGTTCGTACTGATTACATTGTGGCTCAATGTTGTTTGTCGCACGCGTGGAGCCTTCTTTGGTCACTCCACTGCTGGATGAGGGCCCCTCGGCCTCCCACCAGATATCATCCCAGCGCCTGTGCGGGTCGTCGTGAGCGTTGGCGCAGCCATACTTCACCACGCTGGTCTCTTGCGGCTTGAAAGCACGATACAATGGGAACACGTACAACAAGTACTGCACAACGATCTGACAGAATTGCCCTGTAAATATATGTTTTGTTCCCCTGCCTGCAGCATGGCGAGTGAGAGGTGGTTGGTGGTGGTGGTTGGTGGGGGGGTCGTCATTTTGCATTTTGACCATACTTCACCACGCTGGTCTCAAGGCCTTCTTCGGTCGGGTTCGCACGCGCTCAGCCGCTTGATCAGGATACAGCTCGACGAGGCGGTGATTGTTCGATGACGACGATGTGAGGAGGATGATGATGGGGATAGACACGGGGATAAATACGCGGGAGACGAGAGGGGGACCCCAGCTCTTACCACCGCCGCCACGACAGAGCGGCTACTGCTGCCCGCTCCCACAGGCCCCCGCGCGACGCGCTCCCATTGGCTGGAGAGGGGAGGAGGCGCGCGCCGATTGGCTCTCGGCGGGAGAAGACGCGCGCCGATTGGCTGAGGCGCCGTCACTGGGATGGCTGTGGGCAGTGGCGGCCATTCGTGCCTTCAGTCTACCCCTCACCCTGAGGCCCGTGAAAAATAAATAATATTAAAATAGTTTGACGCGTAGGCTTTCGCGACCGATATCATACATCATATTAAAGTAACAACACGACTATTGTGAACATTGACGTCAATTCTGAGGAATTACGATACGTGTATAGTGCTAATACGTCGTAAAATTATCTGAATAAGCAAACAATTACCAACGATAATGCTAATTCAAATTATATGATCAATAACAGTAATAAACGATGTTATCAGCAACGGCAATTATAAAAAAATATTAGTAACCGTAATACTAACGAAATATAAATAACGGCGATAATAAAATGTGTAAATGGCATAGACAATAATCCAAGTACTGTATGTGAATAATAGAAATAACATGAATAGTATCAAGAATTATGTAATATGAATACAATCATATGACAGGTATCAGCAATATTAAACCCGAATAACAGGCATAACGAACAACGGAAAAATATATGAATCTAATGAAATATTAACAGTGAATCGTAGTCTACGAACTATATTTAGTACCTGTAAGAAAAAAATTGGGGGGCATGGCAGTAGCTTGGTAAAGATGCCAACATTGGCTGAATGTTGGCATGTTGCATGTTGGCACGTTCACTTTGAGGGTACCCTGCCAGCCTCCTCACACGTGTCGGCAGTCATGGCATCTTCTTCTTGACTAAAATCCACATGGGTTTTTTGGCGCATTATATTTGTAACTCATCTTCATCACAAACCACGTACACACCCGTCAACCCCTGATCAGTGCCCTACCTTATTACAGACCAGTTCAGACCTTATTGGTTACCCCCGTGCCCCTTATAAATCTCAACGTTCATCCTACGAAGTCTCATCACAAGGCAGACACACACACATAGACAAAACATGTTTTTGCCCATATTGAAACAGCTGTACGCTGTATGGACCTGAAAACTCAATTTCCCTGTACAAGAATACGGGTAAAAACGTATGGGTTGACAGGTATCCGTACTGATCTGTCCAAATGGTTTTGTTATGTGAAACCCTTCGCCACCTGACATGGCCAAATACATTCAATTTATCACGAGTGCAAGCGTTTAACGTGCCAAATATCGTTTCGGTTCACTGGCAAGTTGAACATTTCTCACGATTTTCTTATGCTACTTCATGTTTCTTGTCGATCCTATTCTCTAAACCAATTACGCCTCTTATAGGAACACATTTTCATGAGCTACTCACAACAAATGCACGATGCACCTTATGAGGAAAATAAATGTGATTCATAGTTTATTTTGGGATCTTTTAGTCCAAAATAAACCATGAATCACATTGGTCGCAAAAGCCTACGTAGAAAATTCAACGAGTCACTCAAATGTGTATTCAAAATCGGTGTATTTTCTTTTGTATTAAAGCATTGCATTGTTTTGCTAAATCGACGCACATTAAAAACAAGGACATTAAAACAAGGCAGGATTCAAAGCGTTGCACTGCAGTTGCGTTCAGCTCTCCTAAAACTTAAAACTCCATCGTTGCCGCCCTCCATCGCAGACACAGAGGCCATTTTTATTCATTAAAACATTTCTTTTCCAAACTCAAAGCTCGATTCTCTCCATTAATAAAACGAAGCTCTCTGTTTTTCAGTCAGCAAGGCAACGGTTAGGAAGAACGATGTGATACGATTTTTTTTTCTTTTCGGGCCAACGTGAGGAAGTGCATAAGGCTCAGACACGATCGTGAGATTAAAAATATACTGATGAAGCTAAAAGTGCCAGGGGGTATGCCATGTTCAGGGTAAGAGCCAATGTTTAAAAGGCAATTGAGGTTTTTCCACAGTTTCAAGTGATTGAGGTTTAAGGGATGGGTGTTAAAGGGTTAGAGGTTTAAGGGCTAGACGTTTCGGTGCTACAGATTTAGGGGCTGGAGGTGTGCTTATGGGCTAGAGTAAAAATCAAGTTGATTTGAAGCTTTCGTGACTGCAGGAATCCATACTCTTTGGTTCTTTCGGTAAAGTCACGTCACTACCTACGTGACTTTACGAAAAGAACTAAAGAGGATAAAAATCAAGTGTTTCTCCCGGGGAGGTGCTGGAAGAACGGGGTTGGTGTTTGACGTATCGTGCTGTGGGTTCGGGGGTTAGGACTTGGCCATGCTGGGGTAGCCCCACTGCGTCAGGGGCACGTGAGTTCGCTTGATGGCCTGTGGTGACGTCCAACGGGTGATGTACATGGGGCTCCCGGGCTTGTCATTCGTACCTGCAGTGGGACAAAAGGCAAAGATGCAGCTGACACGGACTAATTTGGATCCAAGTGCTTTTAGTGAGCACCTATGAAGGCCGGAACGACGCGCAGGTGAGGTTGCGCGGTGAGGTTGCGTGGCTGCCATATCTGTCGATGTGGTTGGTTGCTCGTTGCCGTGTATGCATGTTGCTCGTTGCCGTGTGTGCATGTGGCGAGTTGTGCGGTTGTGGCGGGGGGTGCCGGTTGCTGTGTGTAGTTGTGACGGGTCCGCTGGTTGCCGTGTGGACATCAACCAGGTGAAACGAAACTATTTATTTAATAAAAAATGAATACGAGATTCCTTGCACGCGTTCACGTGTTGCTGCTCACCGGAGGCGCGGGCTCCCCCGAAGGGTTGCTGCGCCACCACCGACCCCGTGCATTTGTCGTTGATGTAGAAATTCCCAGCCGAGTTCCTGAGAATAGCCGAGGCCTCCGACACCGCCGCCCTGGCAAGCACGTGACAAATTTGCACGCGGCACGCAGCATGTGGCACACAGCACACGGGGCACGGGGAATGGCGCGTGGTACATCGTAGTTGTTTTGCATGGGCTACCCATCCACCCATTATTCCGGATAATCGATCATTTGCTGTCTTAAGGCAAAGTGATTTCCTGCTCAAATGACCAGAGACGCTGCTCATCTCACGTTTTATAGCCTTGAGCCAGTGATGAAAAAATCCCACGTTTCTCAGGCAACTTTGCTACCTTGCAAAGTGGTACCCATTTTGTTGGACCCCGTAGGGGTGATGGGCTGAGTATACCCCCAATCAGGATTTAGTTTTATGGAATGAAACCGGCTTGACCAGGAGAAAACCCAGGCAGAAGAGGAGTGTTACCACTGCACCACCCCTCCACTGTTCCCTATCCCTGCGAGTGTCCTCTGCGAGCCTTACTCATCCTGTGCGAACACGGCACCCGTGAGCCCGTAGGGAGATGTCTCGTTCACGAGCTGCAGTATCTGCTTGTACTCGTCATCCGGGTACACGTACACCGTCAGCACCGGCCCAAAGATCTCCTGCTCAGGCAGCAACAACAGGTAGGCAGCCCGCGGAGAAAGGTCAGGGTAAAATATGGGCTTTCACGAAGATCGTCGCAGGACCAGTCGCCTTGTCGAGACTGGGGGGGGGGGGCAGGGGTAGGTCAATAATGCCTCTTCAGGCATCGAACGCTCTTCCTTCCACTTGAGCTATTCACTCTTAAATGATGTAGATTGAAAACTAATTCCTTTAGAACAGTTTTTTTTTACGTTAAATTTGTTGTCCTCCCGCACCTCCAATTAGTTGGCTACGTACAGTGCGAAACAAGTTCAACATACACACATGCATATTATCAAAAACTTTTTACCTGTGGCACATCACAGGGAGGGGATTAGAGTCAAGGGCATAATGAATGGAAAAAGACAAAGGTACAGGAAAGGGAAGAGAGGAGAGAAAGCAAAGGATGCTGGGAAGGAAGTCCCCAAGATTTACAAATGGGCATGGCTCAAGATGGGGAGCTGGAAGAAAGAGGGAGCACCGGACAGCAGCAAGGGGAGGAGTGGGAGAGGGAATGACTGGGTCAAGATGTCGTGAATGAGAGGGGACAGAAGAGAGGGAGAGGGAAGGAAGGCACGGGCAGAAGTGAGCTGCACAGAGCAGTGTCTGTTTTCACAGTGGGTGGGGAGAGAGGAGGGATTCGGAGTTGGGGTGGCCACATAGAAGTCACGTGATTTACGGGAGGCTTGAGCTGATTTAGTGGTGATCAATTTGGCAGGGTCTCTATCGGGCAATTCCCGAAAAGAAACACAACTTTATAACATTTCATTCGTATGGGATCATCTTTATGAGGGCGATCGTGACTCCACGTTGCAGGCAGACACACAGACGGACGGACGGACAGACAAATGGACACAGGAACGAGATTCACATGTTCCACCTCGTTTGGAAAGCGTTAACAAATCGAAGGAATCGAAGATCAACCAGCGATACCCCGCCCGCTCTTCCCCCCTGCCATGCCGCACCTCCTCCATGATGCGGTCGTGGGGGTCGGTGGTCACCACAATGGTGGGCTCCACATAGAATCCCACGCGGTCATCGACGCCCCCGCCGGCCAGCACGCGCAGGCTACCTCCGGCCTTGGCGTGATCCAGGTACCGCTTGATTCGTGCAAACGCCTGGGGCAGGGCAGTGGGAAGGGCATTGTGTCAGGGCAGCAGGGGCATGTGTCAGGACAGCACGGGGAATGTGTCAGGGGGCAGCGAGGAGATTGTGTTAGGAGGCAGCACAGAGAATGTCAGGGCAGCGACGTGCGGATGTGGGCACGTGGGCACCCCCAATGGCATAGCGTGGTTGGCATGGGGTCTGGTTCAACTAATGAAATGATGAGGTAGCCACTCCCTGGCCAATTAGTCAACCCCCCCCCACTTGGTAGCAGTGACGGCTCGTGACATGTCCACTAGGTGGGGCTGTTGTGAGTGACCTCTGAAAATATGGTGTTCTAATAAAGAAACACCTCGTCATGTTATTGGCCTTCCTGTGAAAGTGATATAACTGTTTTATCTACCAACGGTAGGCATTTATAAACAATACGCAACCAAACAACAGAGTACTCAAATGTTGTTCCCATGACCCTCAAAAGTCCACA